AAACAGAATATCATGAGATTACAACCGTAATCCGCACTCAAGAAAATCCAACCAACTTTGAAAATCTTCATGATTTACTCATAGATTTTGAAACCCATCTCAAAAGAGATGAAATCACGAGTGATAACAAATTACTCTCGTCAATCCCCACTTCCAATGCCATATTCAAAGGAAAAAAATCTCAACTAAAACATGGAAACTATTAGAGTGCTTCATACCAACAACGTATCCATATTAGTCGGTCAATCTCGTTGCGTTATCTGTCAATATTGTGACAAAACTGGAAAAGAACCAATATATGCTATAAATTACATGGTTACTCGAAGCATCCTAATGGTCCTATAGCTCACCATGCACGCACAACATCTCATGTTGTTGCTCAAGATTGGATCATGGATTATGGTGCAACTCACCACATCACCAATCAATGCTTTGGACAACCTTCACCTAATGGGTGATGGCACATGCTTACCCATCACATATAATGGTAAACCATCTATCTGAACTCTCTCTCACTCACTTCAACTACCAAATGTTTTACATGCTCCTAAAACCTCCAAAAATCCTTGATCTATTCATCTCTTTGTCAAACTAACCCTATCTCATTAGAATTTTTTCTGATTATTTTTTGGTGAAGGATTTAAAGAAAAAGGTTTATTTAATCAAATATCACCATAAACAATGTCCCTACATTTACAATACACTCACAAATTATAACTGACCAATCAAATTTGCATTACTACAGCACATATGATCTTTGTCCTCTTTCCAGAGTCAAAGTCAATCAGTCATTTCTTATTTCCCGTAAGATGATTTAAGCCTCCAGTCTCCATATACCACCAGTCTGTCAAATTCGTATCATCAGATTCAGAAGCCATCAGTAGCACATCTTAATCATCATAATCTCTTCTGGCTACACCATCAAATCTTCTCCTAGCTTCTGACCAAGACTGCTTCTGATGTTTCTTGCCAAAAGCTGCTTTCAGAGCTTGCTGCTCTACTTCTCTTTCAGAAGTTCTCTCAATCAGACGTAACTCATGTGCTTCTAGACTGCTTTGCAACTCTTCAATTCTCATGGTTTCTAGATCCTTCGAATGTTTTATTGCTACCACAATTTAATCAAATTAGGGAGTAAGGGATCTCAATACCTTCTCAATGATTACTTATTCATAAAGGGTTTCTGCACAAGCTTTCATCTCATTCGTGATCAGAATCACTCTGGAGATTTACTCAAATACCTTTTTGTTGTCCTTCATGTTGAAATTCTCATACTGCTTTCGTAGAGGCTGAAGCTTCACCTTCTTCACTGATGTGTCACCCTTGTAACACTTAACCAATGTATCCCACACAGCCTTCGTTGTCGTCGAATCAACAATTTTCTCAAAAATGTTCACATTCACACACTGATGGATGTATAACAACGCCTTCTGATCTTTCTTCCTCAGATCACACTGAGCATTTCTCTGCATACCAGTTGCATTTTCTAGAAGTGTAACTGAAATGCAACCATCTTGAACGCCAAACAACACATGCATCTGAATCATCCAACGATTCCAATTCTTGCCGTCGAACACTAGAAGCTTGGTGCTCAGACTACTGTTTCCATTCATCTTCAACCTTGTGCAAGTCACTCAGATCTCACCAAACACAGTGTTTCCCAATCCTACAGAATCAGAAAATGTGATTCTGTTACGATTTCGTTCAAGATTCAACACGAATTCAAGAAACGAAATCAATCACACAACGCCTCACTGTTTCACTCGTGTTTTCCTGTGAATCCGAACCGGAGTTCTAGATGTCAATTGTTAGTGCACAAGATGATGAAAACAAAAGGAATGAGAGAATATTTATTACTCTACAATGACGGCTACAAAAATTGTAAGAAAGATGATGAAATAAATGACAACTACCACTAGTCTATTTATACACGAATACTAGAGCCACATATATATGATTGATTTTATTATATATAATGTTGATTGTTAGTTTCACTAACCCCTTTTTGAGCATATAACCTATTAAATAAATTTTGAAAATAATAATATGAGAAATTATTTTTTATTTGAAAAATATCTTACATTAATCAATATTTTTCGAGCATTATATTACTCAATATCAATCTCACACTTTTTAATGCTTAAAATCTCTCTCAATGCTTTTAGTTTTCGTTTAACTTTCTTCTGTACTTGTTCATTTTGCAAAGTATGAAACTTTATGCTTTAAAGAATTAATTAGTAGAGAAGGAAGTGTTGAATGAAGAACTTGAAACATTGAACGAAATTATAATCCTTAAAAAATAGGATATGAATAATGAGTAATAGAATACTCAAAAATCATTGATTAGTGTAAGTTGTTCTTCAAATATTACATAATTTTTCATATAATTATTTTCTAAATTAATTTGAAAGGTTATAGGTTCAAGTAGAGTTTTGTGAAATAAACAATCCACATTAAATATAATAAACTCAATTGTATATTTCTTCTCGGTTAAATGATAAAATCGAGAGGAAACATGTTTTTTGTCATTTAAAAATTTCAAAAAAATTTACTCGGAATCAAACCTGTGATCATTATACATTTCTCATCGGTGAAATGTCAACTAAAAGATAAAGTGACACACTTTTAATGACATCCTTTATTACCTCACATATGAAACGGAAGTAACACCTTGTATCAAACTGATATTAAAAGTGTTTTTCGTTATACTGTTGACCATCATTATCAATTATGGTCATTTAGAAATTAATTCATCCATTCCTATAGGATCTTTACTCTTCATACGTAGAAAAAATATATCTAATACTATTCACTCAAACCTTGATATTTTGCTATTACTATTATACCACGATTAGTAGAGTTATATAAGATGTATTTTATTACAAGAAAAATGACATTTTTACACCCAATTCTTACATCTACACCGTATTTCACTGTTCATCAATACGGTGAACAATGAAATATATATATATATATATATATATATATATATATATATATATATATATATATATATATATATATATATATATATATATATATATATATATATATATATATATATATATATATATATATATATATATATATATATATATATATATATATATATATATATATATATATATATATATAAATTTTTTTTGTTAAATTTACTTTCTAGTTTTTATTAAGAAGTACTTATAATAAATTTGGTGATTAACCAACTTTATTAACCAACATTTTACGTTGTATTAACCAACTTTGATGACTGTTTAAAATTATTTTTAATATCTCGACGTTTATTAACCAACTTTATAACTTCATTAACCAACTTTTTACTTTTTATTCACCAACTTTGATTTGCTATTAAAAAATATTTTTAATATCTGGACATTTATTAACCAACTTCATCACTTCATTAACCAATTTTTTACATTTTATTAATCAACATTATTCACTCTTAAAAAATCACTATTCATATATTATATGGAAATACTGTTTATAATACTATTCATATATTATATGCAAATACTATTCATATATTATATGGTGTAGTGTATGCTTTTGGTGTAAACTCAGCATTGCTGTATATTACAATTACAAAACTAAAACTATTTCAATCAATAATAAAAATCCTATTATATATATATATATATATATATATATATATATATATATATATATATATATATATATATATATATATATATATATATATATATATATATATATATATATATATATATATAATTGCAAAATTAGTAATAACAATCCCTTATAAGTATATTATGTTAGCAACTTGAATTTAAACTCTGAGTTTCCTTGGTTAGTGCTATTCAACCCCGCTTCTTGGTGCTAATTGACAGATAATATCACAAAGTTAAAAATTTCATTGGAATACATTTATTATTAACAAAGACCTCCTAATCTTGTTGTTGAAGTAGTTAGTCTCAGGTTCCAAGAAAGAGGAAAACAGAAAAAGAAACAAATAAAGCCCATAGAAACTGAGAGGAAAAGTCACAGAGACATTCAACAAAGTTAGGAGTAGACGCATTAATCTATTTCTGTAGGCATTATTTAAGTAAAGAAAGCATCTTTTGTGTAAGAAAAGCAAAGTTGCAAGGGAAAATGGAAGAACCGCAAAAGGGTCATCAGTCAATACAAGATGAAAGGACAATAACACTTGTGCTTTCTTTTCTTTTTTCTGTCTCAAGTTTTACAACCACCATAACTATTTTTATTAGTCATTTCAAGGAACCCTCACCCTACCTTTTGGCTGTAAAACAGACAATAATAAACAAAATTGTCTAAAATATTATATTTTCTAAAATATTTTTCAAATCACCATCCATTTATCATTATTTTTTTTTGGAGGATGATGAACTATCTTCAACAATTTAGATAGTTTAAGCATAAAATAATTACTAAATATTAGTAACAAAAATTTGATCTAGTGAAAACAAAACAAAAAATTAAACAAACAATTCTAAAATATATTCTTGACAAAAAAAACTAAAATATATTAAAATCAAACTCAAAAAGATAGATAACCAACCAACAAACATTGATATACCCAGTGCCCAAAGGATAATTCAGACGCGGGCGGAACCAAATAAAAAATAAAAAATTATTCAAAAATGGGAACATCAAATTAGAGACTAGTGTAAATGAACTCGAACTTTTGAAGATCAACAAATCTGACCGACATACAAATTAGATAATAATAGTTTCTACTACCCATAATATTAATTAAGTAATTTATATAAAAAACGCAATTATATTGTATAAAAATTAAAAAACAACCTTCACTTCATAACAAGTATTTTTGTATGCTAGAAAATAAAATATGTTGATCTAAAAGATATTTTATACAATAGTATGAGTATTTGTATTGCATGTGACATTCACTTTATGTAGGCTATAAATATGAGTCCTTCTATTCCATGCTATCTACTTCCAAGTAAAAGAAGAGACATAACATAACCTATAGGTTTGCTTAGAGGTGAAGTGTCCTTGACAAAATGGGAGGCAAGAAGTCATCTTCATTCTCCTTTTGTGGAATGTTCAAATCATGTTTCTCAAGTGAAAGCAAAAATGATTACTACAATGAAGGGAGTAGCAGCAGGATGTTTACCAGTGATGAAGACAGAGGTCGTTGGGTTGCTGAGCCTGGTATTGACAGGAAAGCATCTGCTTTCATAGCTAGATTCTATGCAAACCGAGTCACTGATTCTGAACAGCAAATTGCTTCTTGAAATTTCATCTTTTTAGTTCTTGTTTTTTGATGCGTTTTAAATAATTCAATCCACTTTTCTTTCTCTCCGCAGTTGTAGACAGTTTTATGATTTTATGTATGGATTCAAAGTTGCTAGTGTAATAATGTGTGTTGCTATTATTAATAAATAATGTAAAGATTTATTCATTTCTTGTTTTCATATCTACAGAAAATCATTATTCGCTAGATGGTTTGGTGCCTACCTTATAATTTTCTAGTTTTCTTATGAGAATTTTTATGCAGCAGAACGAGCCTATCTATAACTGCACAACAAGTTAATAAACACTTTTATTTAAATAAAGTAGGTATCTTTCCAACACTTTGTGGTGGAAAGATATTAGGACGCTTGGTAATTCTAATGAGTTGGTTTTTGCAATCAACTTGTCTGGAAATTAGGTAATGGAAAATCTATTCCTTTTGGAACTTCCTTTGGTTAGGCCCAACAAAGCTGAAAATATTTTTTTCTAACTCTGTTTGATGCTGTTGTGTTGAAAGAAGCAGCGGTTAGTGAATTGGGTTGGTGGTCTGATGATGTATGGCAGTGGCAGATTGGAGTGATTTTGACGGATCTCTTGGGCTGTGTTGGTACTGAATATGAAGAGTTGATGGTGCTACTAAACGAAGTGCAGCTGCAACATGATACAGCAGATGTTGTTGTATGGCCGAAGGACGTGTCGAATGTTTTCACGGTTAAATCATGCTATGCAATTCTGCTGTAGGAAAATGGTCAACATGAACTTGATGAAAACACTCTTTTAGTTTTGGATATTTTATGGCAAACGAATGTGCTATTAAAAGTGAAGATCTTCGGGTGCGGCTTGTTATTATATAGGCTTCCTATCCGTATTAATTTGGCAAATAGAGGAATTATTACTAATAACCATGATAAAGTTTGTGTTTCTTGTTTCCAAGTTGATGAACACAATCACCATATTTTTCTTTCGTGTCCTCTTATTAATTTGGTGTGGAAGGAGGAGGTTGCGAATTGGATAGACATACCGTTTATTGAGCAGGATAATTGTCGGGATCACATGTTGGCTTAGTTTATAAAAAAGATGTGAAATCGAATGCGTGCTTGTTTTGGTTGGCTATAACTTGTAGTATATGGTGTACAAGAAACCAAGTGGTCTTCAATAATGGAATAACAAATCTCACTAATATTTTTCATAGGATCCAACATGTCTCGTGGTGCTGGTTGGCTCTTAATTCACCTCTATTAGATGTAATTTTTATGATTGGTTCAAATGTCCGTCAGATTTGTTGTCGTTATTTGTATTTGTTGTTGTTGTAAAAGTTAAACTTGTTGTTCCTTTGTACCCCATTGGTATACAATTTGATTATAAAAAATAAAAAAAGATATCAACGCCCACTTTCATAAAAAAAAAGTAATTTTGCATTTGTTTAACTTAGGATTAGACTAATTTTTGGTTAGAAGGTTAGTGAAACATAGCGATACACTTTTAGGGTTTCTCGATTTTTTAATGGCAAATATATTATATTAAAAGGAGAAAGATTTTTGAATAAACAAGAGTACAAAGTACAAGGTGTGCCTAATCAACAATAAAAATATAGAGAAAAAAGAAAGAAAAAAGCCACAACTAAAATATATTTAAAAAAACAAGAGTCATGTCACAACTATCATAGAACATTCTCGTTACTAAAGACTAAATCTCAAACCAACCAGATCCACCATCAACATATTAGGAGATAAAAAGGGAATGAGCTAAAAGCCAACCACCTCACACTAAATTAGGGCAAAAACTCAATCCTCTAGAGGTGTAGGAACAGGATAGGATTCTGAAGTCACTCCGTGAAGGTGCAAGGGTTCTCTCCCACCTTGCCCAAAAACCAATTCCAAGACAAAAGAATACTTTTGTCTATCACTTCTTTTCTTGTTCTTGTTACTCCTTTAAAGATATCATTGTTTCAAGCTTTTCAAATAGACCAAATAACAACATGTCAGATCAAAAGGTAGTCACCCCTCTTTTTGCCCATACCTCCTAATAAGGTAAAAGATTGAAAAAGCAGCCTAATATCCTTATGGATAACATTTTGTCACCCTAACCCCCTGAAAACTCTATGTCGAAATGGACCAGGCTAACTCACAAGTAACAAAAAGGTGAGAAACTTTCTCTACCGGGAAACCACAAAAGGGACAACCAAGCAAATTAGGCTCCACTAACACCCCTCGTCTAAATAAATTGGCTTTGAAGGGGAATTTATCTTGTAATAATTGCGAAGAGAAAACTCCGACCTTGGATGGAACTCAACTACTCCAAATAAGAGAGAGAGAGAGAGAGAGAGAGAGAGAGAGAGAGAGAGAGAGAGAGAGAGAGAGATAGAGAGATAGAGATAGAGAGAGAGAGAGAGGGAGAGAAATGATATGTCTATGCGCTGAGATATGTGTTATTGAAGAAGCTAAACTCCCTCTTTGTGCGAGATAAGCAGATGCTACTGAAAAAGAGTTGTCACAAGAATGGTTCCAAACCCACTTATCTTGATCCAAAGTAAAGATAACCTCTCTAAGCAAGGCATGTTACTCATAGACCACATGTAATTCCCTAAGTAAAAAGGATCTCCTCCAACTGAGATTCTAAGAAAGAACCTCATTGATAACCTCCCCTAACTCACCCACCTTCCTATTTTGATAGAGAGAATTGGAGCGCAAACCAGGAAACTTAAAATTCATAGTGAAACTCACTAGCCAAGGATCTTCCCATAAAGAAGTTTGAAGACTTGTCCCTACTCTCCTAATAATACCCTCAGAGAACCAATCTAGAATATACTGCTTTTAGTTCCAAAAAGAGAGATCTCCTTCCACCAAGAAAAGGAAGAGAAGAAACCCATCGCCCTAAATCGATCTTCTATAGAATGAGACATATATATCCCCATATCTAGCTATCAAAATATCCCTCTAGAGCCCTGAATCTCCTACTAGTAACTTCCATCTCCACTTAGCCAGAAATGCTAAATTAACAAGTCTAAGATCTCTCACACCTAACCTCCTATACTTTTTGGCTTTCACACATTTTCCTAATTCACCCAAGGAATCTTAGAATATCCTTCAGGCCCCTCATAAGAATTTTCTTTGAAGGGCCACAATTTTCTTCCAAACCAAAGCAGGAATTTTGATAAAGGATAAGTAAAAGATAGGGATAACATTAAGAACTAAGTTAAGGAGGACCATTCTTCCCCCTAGACTAACAAATCTATGCTCCCAAGAGGTAAGCATTTTTCAAATAAAACAATCAAAGGTTCTCATGTGGACTTAAGCTTGGGATGGCCTATACTAGCAACCCAAGGTACTTAAAAGGAAGAGAGTCAATCTCACAATGAAGGAATTTCCCAACTGAAGTAAGAAAATCATGATTTACATTAACCCTAATAAGTCTACTCTTAAAAAAATTCACACGAAGACCCGATGCGCTCACGAAATCTCTAAGAATAGCCTTAATTCACCAAAGGTTCTCTAGGTACGGATCAAGTATTAAAAGAATATCGACTGCATAATGAAGGTAGGATAATACTAGCCCAATATTACCCACTATAAACCCTGAATAAAGATCAATATCCTGAGCTCTAGCAACCAGAATGCTAAGCCCTTTAGTAACTAAAATAAAGAGGAAAAAGTATAAGGGGTATCCTTGTTTCAAACCTCTTTAAATTCTTATTTCTTATGCGGGGGCACATATTCACCAAAATGGAAAGATTCCCCGCAAAGACACAAATGTTCATCAAAGACCTCCACATTTCATTGAAACCAAATCTGATTAGCATATAATCTAAAAATTATAACTAAATGAATCATATGCTTTCTAGAAATCCACCTTAAGGATGAAACAAGGTTGTTTTTTTAGTTTTATTTAGCTAAGTCAACAGCCTCGTGATAGCCACAACTCCATCCATCAACAATCTCCTTTTAAAGAAAGTCAGTTGATTAGGAGATATGAGCTTCTCTATAACAACCCCAAGTTTAATTTCCAGTACTTTGGCCACCAATACAATGATTCAACCAAGGAAATAGGGGAAAACTCACTAAAATGAGAAGGGGATTTAAGCTTAAGGACCCTAGTTACAAAGTAAGAAGTAAAACTACGAGGTAGAGATGCAAAACAGTGGAATTGGTCAAAAATGGTCCTCAAGTCAACTTTAGAAGATTCCAGAATCTTTTGAAAAAAGAGAAGTTGAAACCATAAGGACATGTACTTTTATCATCCTTACACTAAAAAACAACCACATCAAGCTCCATAGAGCTAAAAGGAACCGGTAAGGATATGATATGACCATCCAAAAGAAAGCAGAAGGAAAATCCATCCAGACGATGTCTATCAAAGTCGGGTTCTCTAACTATGTAAGAAAAATGATTCACCACTTATTTCCTAATATCAAAGACCCCTTCTATCCAACATCACCAACCTGAAGAGCTAAGATAGCATTCCTTCTACTCTTAATTTTCACAGAAGCATGGAAAAATCCAGATTTAGAATTACCCTCCTTAAGCCACCGAGATCTAGATTGTTGAAACAGTTGGGTGTCTTTAATTTTAAGAAGGGACCATAAATCAGAAAATTCTTTATATCTAGTCTCAATGTCCATCCTAACTAAAACTCCACTATCGGCCAAATAATTAAACCTGTTCACTTCATCTCTCAAAGAAACAATTAGAAAGTCAATATCACTAAAAACCTCTTTATTCTGATATTTGAGAACCACTTTGAGAGCCTTAAGTTTCTTCAATGGAAAAAAAAAAGCTTTCATATCTTGAATCTTAACAGTATACCAACAATTAGAAACTAACTCACGCAAGCTTTTATGTGATAACGAATCATTATTAAATCTAAAAGGTTTAGGCCCCATAATTGATTAATATATTTTAAGATAATAGGACAATGATCAGAGATATCTTTCGGAAGATCCCACTGGAATACCATCCGCAATGGTTCCACCACCCACTCGAGATCAAAGAATTATCAATCCTACTAGCAGCCTCTTCGTAAGGTTAATACCAAGTAAACTTTTTCTCATAGAAAGGCAAGTCAATAACCTCCATCTGAAAAATAAAATTAGAAAGCTCTATGATATCCACAATGTCCGAGGAAGAAGGAAAAACCCTCATTCCAACTCTCTCAGAAGAAGAAAAGGTGAAGTTAAAATCCCAAAGAACGCGCCAAAGAGAACCTTCAATGTTGGCTTTCCTAGAGATCAAGTTAGTCCACATTTCTCTTTTAGCTGACAAAGAGCACTTAGAATAAACATTAATTAGAAAACAAATTGACTTATCAGAGCTCCACTCTAAATAGATATTCAATAAGTTAGAGCCAAAAAAAGAAAAAGAGATTTTCCTTTCAAACTACATCGGTTTGAAAGAAGTCCGTCACTACTTCCTCAGACAAAAAAAAAACTCCAACAAAAGATTGATTTTCCCATAAAAAATGAACTAGAAAAGAGAAATCTTAGACATCTTAGTCTCTTGAATTGCAATGAAATCTAAAGAATCATCCCTAATTAGATCCCTCACTTTACTTTTATGATCCTCTCCCGAAATCCTTAAATTAAAAGAACAAATTAACATTGACGGGAGACCCTACACAATAGAATTCTTTTTGGTGTCTGGTCTCTCTTTTCTAGATCCACCAGCTTACCTAATTCAACCTCATCACTCTTAACTAAATAATATCCTTACCGTTTGATCTCCCTAGGAAGTCTACTAGTCACGATCATCAAAACAAAGTCTAAGTCTAAGTAAAAAGATATTGGATTTGTATTGCACTAGGTTTTTTTTAGGGAATTTTTGTTCTTCTTTCTCAAATTGTAGGATGTTTGTGATTTGATGTTTTGGCTAGCTATTGGCTATTTTTTTTTTTGGTATATGCACCATCAGTGGATTTTACTTTTGTTTTGAGGAATTTTTCACTTAAATATTTGGGTTGCTTATTCACTTTCAATTTTTGTATTTAAATATTCAGTGTTATTTTATATTTTTTATTGAGATTCTTGCAAGATAAAATTTTTATATCCCGTGTATTGTTTTTATTGTGTTTTTTAAGTCATTAATTTGTAAATATAAAGAAAAAGTTAAAATTAATATATACACATAAATACTGTAGTCGTCGCGACTTGAACCCTAGTTCAATACTTCCATTTAACTCAACTACCAAAGATAATCATCTTGTTATTATCTTTTTATTAACTCTCATAAATATAAATGATTACAAAAATAACTTATACGGTAAATAGTATGTTAAAATGAATATTTTTATAATAAAGTTAAATTCTTTTTAAGTCCACCTCATATTAATTAGATTTTTATAATATAATTAAAATATAAATAATTTGATAAACAATCTACATAGATGATATTGATAGTAATAGAATCTTGAAGTTAGTTTTAGAACATTTATATTTAAGTTAGAAGGAGAATTTTGTTTTATTTAGGGTGTGTTTGGTTCGGGGTAGATGGAGGGGAGGAGAAATTTTTAATTAAATATGTTTGGTTCAAATTTTAGGAGGGGAGGGGAAGGGAGCAAAATCCCTCCAAAACACACTTTTGGTTCCCTCCGAATTGGGGGATTTGGAGGGGAGGGGGGAAATATAAGTTTTGATATTTAAAAATTATTATATTTATTAAAATATCCTCAGTTTAATTTTATTATTTCAAAACTATTTGTTATCTTTTGTGTTACTATTTTTTCTCGATTGTTTTCATCATCTTATTATAATTGTTCTCCACCTTCAAATTATTTTATAATTTTTATAATTAGTATAAATCATAATCATTGTCTTTTTTTTATTAAAAAAATTATGTTTCTTTATATTCGTTTTTTTCTTTTAATTTTGTTATGTACTCTATCATATTTTCTTTTATATCAAATTATAAACCATATCATTTTATTTATTTTTGTTTATTCATTTTATTAAATATTTTGAACCATTAATATTTAGTAATAAGTTATTTTATATTTATTTTTGTTATATGATTCATCACAATTTAAACGATGTTATTGGCATATAGTTTAATTTATGTTGAAAAGTTATAAGTCGAATCGATTGTACTCAATTTTTTTAACTTTATGTGACAAATAAATATTTTTTTAATCACTCAATATTAGAAATTTTATTACCAACAAAAATACGCACGAATTTTTCACATTTTAATATCGTATGACTTATATAAGATCATAAGGATAAAAATGTAAATTATTAATAAAACCCCTCCCCTCCCCTTCTGAACCAAACACATTTTTAATTAAAATCTCTTTCTTCCCCTTCCCTCCTCTCTTTTGAACCAAACACTTATTTGATCAAAAAATTCCTTCACCTCCCCTCCCCTTCATTAAAATCCCTCCCCTTCCCTCCCCCTCATTTGAACCAACTTTTATTTTAATTGTTTGGTTGTATTATTGAGAGATTTGAGATTATTAAATAAAATGAAATACTTTTAATTTTATTGGATACTTTTTTTAGTGTTCTTTCTCTTTTTATCATAGAAACTTAGTTCCATAGTTTTGATAGAAAAATCTTTTATTAATTGGTGCTTGAAAAAACTTCATCTGGTGTAATGATGATAAGAGCTCTGGCTTTGGTGATTTTAACTTTTTCTTCTTTATGAGGTTTTAGGTCCTTTTTAAGGATGAGTTGGGGTTATGTTTGATTAGTTTCATTAGTTTGTTTCTCTTCTTCGTGATTTTTTCTCCTTCTTTGTTACCTTGATTCTAAATGTTGATTCTCCTTCTCAGTTAGGAGACTTTCCACCTATTTACTTGGTGGAGTCTCTCTATAAGATTCTCGCCAAAGTCTTTGTGGCTAGGCTATCAGGTGTTATGCATAAACTTATTTCTCGTAACCAGTCCACCTTCCTCAAAAGTAGGATTTTAGTTGATGGGGTGGTTGATGTGAACAAGCTAATGTATATAGCTAAGAAAAGTGAACAATTTATGCTTTTAATGTGGATTTTGAGAAAGCATATGATATGTTAAATTAGCTTTTCTTGACTATATGATTTTCTAGATTTGGGTTTAATGATAAGTGGAGAGGTTGAATTCATGATTTAGTGTTTTTATTTTTATTTTTTTGCGGTGTTGATTAATAGTTCTCTGAGCCAAAATTAGTATCCGAAGAGGGTTTAAGTAAGTACACACATATACACATCCACACACACACACATATGCACACACACACACACACACATGTACAAACACACCTACACACACACGTACGCGCACACACACACACACACACACACACTCACACACGCATACATACACATACACACACACACACACTCAAACAGACGCACAGACAAAGACACACATACACACAGATAGGCCCACAAACATACTCTCTCTCACACACACACACACGGACAGACAGACACACATACACACACACATGCGTACACACACACACACACACACACACACTATCTCTCTGTCTCTGTCTCTCTCTGTCTCTTTCTATCTCTCTTTCTAACACACACACACACACATACACACATACACACACTTTCTCTCTATCTCTATCTTTCTAACACACACACACACACACACACACACACACACACACACACACACACTCACATACACACAAACATTCATACATTTTAAAATCTCCTCCTATAAATTATTTTTATTCATTATACATTGCTTAACTGTTGAAATAGCGAAAAACTTAGAGTGAATGTTGTTTTGTTTTATTTCTTATTTGTATTAAGTTGTAATTTTATTTCAAAAACACAGTTATCTTGCATCTCTACAATTGATATTATGGTTTCAAGCTAAACCTATGAAAAATCTTGGTGCGAGGAAGGTTGTTGGCCTGAGGGCATGCCTTTTTGAAAAAGAGGGGGAGGGTGCAGTTGCTATGTCATTTTATGGTTGTTTATTTGTTTTGATTTTATTCTTCTTCCTTGATGATGAATGACGAGAACTTATAGATTGGTTTCTCTTTTGCAAAAAAGTATCCAATGAAGATTCTACCAAGATTGGATGGTGATGATAGGATTATTAATGTGATGAATGCATGCAAGGTACATGATTACCTCTTTCTATAATTGTAGAATGATTAAGAATTTTGTGCTTTGTACAAATGTGTATTCTTGTTTCATTTTACAAATTATTTGAATGCTTGAGTCACATAGGTCCAAAAGCCACAAATTATGAGAAACCTCCATTGTTTACTAAATGCTTGGATAACTGATAACTTTGTTTAATTCGTTCGATTCATGCTTAATCTTTTGATTATTGTGATTTTGTGGAAGCATTAGAAAGGATCAAGGCATTTATTTATATTAAGCACAACCATATCCAAAAGTAACTTACCCATGAGTAGTGAGAATTTGTTAACCCCTATAAGCCTAGTAGATTAGATCCCAATTTAGTGATGAATTTGGTTTATGTGCATATTTTGAAAGTTTAGTTAATCATTGAATTTTGTGAGATTCTAAAAAAATCTTGAAACCTTTGAACATTGTTCTAATTGATTTCCTTGCCATAAAAAGCAAGGAGCATTCACTTGAGGTTTGATTGTATTCAAGTTGGGGAGAATGAAATAAAAATGGTAGGTTTCTAAAAATTTTGAAAATTTTCAAACAAGTAAAGAAAAAATGTGAATATGAATGAATGTGAAAAAGAAAAGATAAAAAACATGCTTATTTGAAAGAAAAAAAAATAGAGAATGCAAATAATTACGCAAAAGGAAGTTTGAAAAGGTTGAGCAATAGAGAAAATGGAGTTGTGAATGAAGTTGTAATGTGTAAATACCTTGTATAGTGAATGTCTCTTTTGATTGACAACTTCAATTCGATGGCCTTTAGAAACAACCCTTTATTGTGAAACCATACCAAGCTACAACCTTAAAAG